GCCGACGATTACGATATCATTCGAGGCCATGGCTCTGTGGGCATTGAAATCATTGACCAAATGCAGAAGCATGAAAACTTTGGTGCCACCAAGCCCGATGCCATTCTTGTCCCCACATCAGGTGCCGCGCTGCTTGCAGGAACAGCCGTTTACTGCCAGCCACATGGCGTTAATGTGTATGGCACCGAACCTGCAAAGGGGTCGGCCGATCTTTTGGCTGGCAGGAAGAGTGGGAAAAGAAGGGAGATGGTGGACTCGTCAGTCAACACTATTGCGGATGGGCTGCGATCCTGCGTTGCACCCAGAGCTTGGCCTGTCGTCAGCAACAAGACATATGTCAGAGATGTCTTTGGTGTCAACGACGAGCAAATCCGACAAGCACTAAAGTTTTTCGTTGCTGAGACAAAGACACTCGCCGAGACCTCTGAAGTAGTCCCTCTAGCCGCCTTGCTGTTTTCCGAAGAGTGCAAGGAAGAGCTGGGGCGGCTAGCCAATAACGCAGAGAATGGCAAGCTGAGGCTTGTAGTGGTCGTTACAGGAGGCAACGTCTCGCTGGAGGCGATGGTGGAGGTTCTCATGCTGGATCCCAGGAAAAACCATTATTGATTGATCAAGTTGCAAAAATTAACTAGTTAGAGCTGACGCATACTTTCTTGGAAGAATGGACAAAGATCTAGACACCCGATCCTTTGGTGATCTTCGTAACTATTGTAAGTTAACATTTAATTTATCCGTTAGGTGGTTCGGTTCTTCGAAGGTCAAAAGGAAGAGGGGGAAAAAAGAATCAAAAGTGTGCCAATTTACTTACAGCCCCTTTCGCCGCTAGAACGAGTGTAATCCTTGAACGATCGTCGCTGATCTGTTCCGTTGTTGTTCCCGTCCTCAGCATATGCTGATGACCGATGGATCCGATTGGATCTTTTTTATTCCTTGTGGCTCAGTCATTTATCCCTGAAATTTGACTCTCAACTGCCGCTTCGACGCATGCCCAGAAGCTGTGGAGCTTGTATGCTGTCATACCACTTAAGGGCTTCAAGTGGATGCTGTGTTGTTCTCATGTTCCTGAAGCCCGTGTTGGTATCTAACCTAACCCTAGAAAAGAAAACTGAATGTTCCGTGTCTGATGTATGGTGGTTAGCTAGCTCACCCGCGATCTCGCTGCGATTTGTAGTCGGAAAATTGATATTTTTGAATATCCTGAGACTCGAAGAGCCGCACACGCAGGGTCGTTGTTAGCTTCCGCCTTTGCGTCTGCCGATGTTTCAGGGGTAAGGCAGAAGTAGTCTGACTGACTGGTAGCAAAAAAGCCAAGGAAGTGTTCGTGAATCATGGCCGGGGAATCGGGATGAAACCACTATGTAATTCGTTTCAACGTTTAGGGACCGTGGGATATATCCGCGATTTGCCAGCTGGGCGTTCTGGGCATGCATGATAGTTGTATGGCCTCGTCGTGCTTGAATAGTATACCCCAGTCCCACTAAGAGGTATATTCATATGCCAGCATCTTCTCTCGGATGATTTGGGGGGGGGGGGGGGAGGAGTCTGGTCGGGAGAAAGGGGATGGGTCGTGAAATCCCGTGAAATTCATAAGTAAGCCGATTCTGTTCGCTGAGACTAGATAGTGATGTTCACTCTTGTCGTGAACATCATTCTCCTGTGGCGGCGGTAAAAGCGGGTATTGTCTCTGTTCGTCAAGTCGATCGTTGGGGGTTGCAAAATTATTAACAAGCGTAGTACGGAGTATCATACTAACCATTCTGATAATTCTGCTGGATCCAGTTTGTTATCTCGCAGTTGCATAAGCTTAAATTTGAAAAATAAAACGGAATGCGCCCTGCAGAGATCACTCAGCATCCTGTATAGCCGCCCGGGGGAAAATTTGGCATTGCCGTACGGCATCAGACTTCTCGTATAGCCAACGCAGACTCAATTATCTTGGACAACCGCATTGGCTTTGTGCTGCACTGTCGGGATGGTGAGAAGCCGATATGTATTTGTAAGAGCATATGCATCGGCACTCAATGCTGTGTCTCACGGGTAAAATATATGGTGTTGAGCGTACTCCTTACGGAAGACGTCATTGATATAGATCTGCAAGCTCACGTGTTAATATCGTGATAGACACAACATATTTTAAGGGTATTCCAATATTGTGCTGGAGTGTACCAAATTAAATCTAGCTGTTCTGAACAGTGGGAGAACTCTTGCTACCAAGAATGAAGGGTAACTAATGCTCGATTGCTGTCAAAAAAAAAAAAAAAAAAAAAAGCCAGATAATGAGATACTCGCTACCGACTTCTGATAACAACGATCAGGGCTCTTCATAAGACACCGAGCTCGCCACAGTAGCCTGGTCGGGAGGCTACAAAAAGACCAGACTTCACTGTGGATTGCGCCGAGAATAGGTTGGGAGATCCAGTTGAATAAGAATATATAAGATCGACCCGATAACCCCGGCAACAAGAGCTTCAAAAAAGGGTGGATGGCTGGACACAAAAGCGGGTCTGATGGATATAAAGAGGGTCAAGTCCAAGACTGGCCAAGCAGTTGGGGATGGGTGATTTTTCAACAATTTCGGGAATAAGTAGAATACGGTGTCTGCCCGCGTCAAGATCAACAAGGGAAAATGGGTATCATTGTCCTGGATGCCGGGTATAGTGCTTGCTGACCTTGGCGTAGATGTCCGCACTACGGAGTAGCACTCGCTGAAACGGGTGATACGGACGGAGGGAGGTGGGTAGTCTATCCGGCATATGGGGTACATACAAACAGACCGTTATGAAAAACGGATGCGACAACGGCGCCGTCTAATGGATTACCTCAAGCATCAAAATGAAGTATAGATCGTTATTATCGCGCCCGCACGAGGTTGTGTTAGTTAATATGGGTCATTGATGTAACTATTTGCCTCCAGCTCCCTCTGTCCGGCGGTCACATGTGAGGTCTATGCGGGATGAAAGCTAAGAGCATATGGGTCCATTAAACAAAAGAGATGCCATCGTCGACCAGAATTCATATAAAAGTGTATGTGTAACTGGATGTACCAGGCTGTCATCCAGACGGTTTGGTATCAAGGATGAAGCCAGGGGATGGGAAATAAAAAGTCGAATACATTCCATAAATGTCACCATGCATGAGGCAGAACACGGAAACGCCCAGGATATCCGTATCTATTTGCCGGATGAAATATAGATGTGGTATTGTCTTCAGTTGAAAGGCGGAGTGGTCTCTTCTGTCATATGAAAGTATATACAGTTGAACAAGCGTTGCAGCGAAGACTCTTGATTAGCCCGAAGCTCCGCCAGCGTGTGATAGATCGGAAAATGCGCTGGAAATATCTAACCCCGTTTTGCAATTGTCGCCATTTCGTATGTCGGAATAAACCGGGAGGTAAATCGCATATGGCTTTTTGAGAATTTACACGGGGGACATTCACCGTTGGGATATTGTAAGCTTGAGCCTGTGAATGATGGGTATTAATAACCCAATATGTTCATTTTTCAACATCTTGACTTCATATAATTAATCAGATGACTTGACGTGACGCCCTCACTTGTTTTCACTAGGCATCCCAATATATCAGATTGGTATCTTCCAATCATTCGGGATCCCCCTTTTGTTGTTTCACCGTGCACGAAAAAATTCGGTAGTTGATCAATAAATGATCAAAAATAGGGGTAGCACAATGGAATTACCACAGGGTATCCCATTTGCTAGGCAAAAAAATATATCTAAAGACATAGTTCCTACGTAACGGTAGGCGATCCCATGCTAAGGACTTCTGTTTCGTTTCGTGGTGCAGCTGTCTATGACGATGCATGCTTGAATTGAGCCGATCAAGAGGTTGACGGCATCGGCTAAGGATTAAGCCAGTAATAAACCCATACTGATAGCATCCTAACGGCATCTCTTATTGTCTTGTATAGCTCATCTTGGGGGTATCAATTTGATGTCTCTTGGATATATTGATGGGAATTAAGGGGAGCACACACAGCAGCAAGCCAAAGGTAGCTCGCTGGCTCCACATCGACTTGACGCTGCGCAGACGGCTTCAAACACACTCTCTGCATCTTTTCTTCCCTTAACAAGCCAACTAAATGAATCAATATCATCGGCGTCCATGGGCTCGAATAAAAGAGTCAAAAACATCGGGATTTTTGACTGTTTTTAGGCTGGATTTTTTGGTCTTTTTCTCCAAACTTACGCGGTCAACTGCTTAGTCATCGAAATATCTGTATGGAAATACAGTAATTTTGGCCGTTGTTGTGCTGTTACGTCAGCGACCGAATAACAGGCAGCCAATGAAAAGCGATAAATACGCAAGCTCTGCCAGATTGGCCAATGGAAAAGCGCTAAAGCAGCGACAGTGCGTACAGCCGATACCGCAATACCGCCTCTTTCTTTTTTGTGTTTGTGATGGAGTCATCGATAAGAAAGCGAAGCAACGGCGGGAGAAAGACAGGCAGAGCAGAGAAGAAACCGACATCTTGATGGGATGGAGTTTGCGCCTGGGGAGACACCAGCAGTGCAGAAAACGACACAGACAGTGCTGCAGAAAGCTCAGTGTGAGTGTTGACCTCCCTCCTGCACGGCGCAGGCTGGCCTTCTTGGTCCAGCTGCCTGCCAGCTGCTGCCTGTCGACTTCTACAACAACACCAACAACCACAACCTCAGTCCCAGCCGCAACCGCCAGCCATCCACCACCAGCCACCAGTGCTGCTGAAAGACGGCCTGATACAACCGCTCTTCTGCTGCTGCTATGTGCCTCTAGCTGATTGCTTCATCTGCAGAACTCCTTCGACCAGCTCGCCGCCGTGGTGCTTCGACCGATCCCTGCGGCTCCGAAGCCAAACCTAAAGCTCTCCCCAGCCTAACCATCAGCGACCCCCAGAGCTCTCCCCCCCCCCAATCCTCACTTCAAGCCCCTACCAGCTAGAGATATCCCTTTGAGGCTCTTTTCACGAAGCAAACAACAGACAGCCGCCATACTGGAAAATGTCATGGGCCCTACCCCGCTAGAGCACTCTAGCAACATCACCGCCGCGAGCATCAGCAGTGGTACCGGCCCTGGCACCTGCGTCAGCCCGCAGCCACAGTCGATCGACACAAACAATCCAGTCGTCCGTTCTCCAGCGGGTATCCATACTTCCGACTCGCCCTCGTCACCTGTCCAGTCGTCGTCGCCAACTGGCTGCAGCGAACTCATGGAAGAACTAAACTCAGAGTCCACGCGCAAACGTCCCCGGCTTGATAGCGGCAGCGGTGCCAATTGCACGCATGACTCTGCCTCAATGTCTACACCTACGACTCCGGCAGAGACCAGTGAAGACACACAGGATAGCCAGCAGAACCTGCAAACTCCCCAGGATCAAGTTGACAATACTCCAGGTACTATAAAAGAAGGTGCGGTGGGAACTCCGGATGGACGTAGCGTGCATGGTGGACCTCCAACAGCTGGCGAGGATCAAGACGGAATGCCGATCACTCCTGTACCCGCAGCTAACACCCAGAAATCAATGAATGGCAGTCCTGTCGTCCCTCCTCGTCCATCAAGTCGAGTTACCATTAATATGAAGTCTCCAACTTCGGAAACAGCACAATCTCAAGCCACACCCGAAGACAGGGAAGCCACAGCCTCATCAACGGAAAAGCAAGATCCCGCAATAGAGAGCGGCAATAATGTCTCGAAACCTGAGCTTGATCCTATTTCGCAGTTGGACGGCGAGTCGGTTGTATTCCAAACCAACCCTAACCCAACGGTGAACCATGATATCCACTCTAGTATACCCATGGAACGGACTACCATCGTCATTCCCGATTCGCCTTCTTCTGCTGCAAGCGTCGAGATCGAGGTTGCAGACCCGGAAGACATGGACCAGGATCCAGCTACTACGAGTTGGAGGCCATTAGATGATGCCATACGGGCTCCAAGGGAACCTGAAGTCGTTCAGATTCATGAAGAAACCTCCCTTGCAGAAGCATTCCCAAATTTCAGAGCAGCATATAATATCCGCGAGTGTGTCTTGGATATGAAAGCTGCTATGGAGAGAGGTCAGTGCGACTTTTATATATTTTTTATCTGCTTTGTAGGGAAGACTGACTTATATATTTATAGGAACGATACGTGATCTTAATGTGTTTGATGCCCTCAGGTCTTGGTTTGATTTATGCAGTGAAACTATCAGCGTTCTCACATATCAAGCATTTATTGAGGACCGTGATTTTTGGGAAGAGGTTCCTTCTATCATTGAAGGCCTTCTGAGGCGGACGTAAGATATATACATTCTGTATACTCTCGTACTAACTACCGTGCTAACTCGGCTATTTAGAACGGAGTTTGTGGCAGAAGAAGGAGAAAGTCCAATGTCATCTGTTGAACAATTTCTCTCTTGCTATGTCGAGATTGCAATGCACGTCATCTCTCTCGATTCACAGCAGCTATCTCAATCCCCCGATGATAGGGCTGCTCAATATGACCCAATATCAAGGACTTACTGGATGCCACTTGCCTCGATGCTCCAACTTCGTAAAATTCCCCTATATACTGCAATGGAGCGTGATTACGGTTCTGAGATCATCGACTTGGTCGGCCATCTTAATGACTGCGTTGCTGGTCAACAGGTCACTGGCGTACTTGTGCTCACTAATTTCATGAGGGCCGTTTCGCCTTTCCTTGCCAAGTCACCTATTCTCACCTCCCTATTTACTTCTGCTCTCAGCGTCGCCCACAACGTTCTAGACTCCTTCGTCGGGAGAAGATACCAACCCGATTATGGCCGCCCTAACCCTAAGGAAGTGATTACACGGGTTTATGCATTACTCCGGTTTTCTGAGCCTGTATACCGATCTCTGATAGAAAAGTCCTCATCCGGTCTCTCTAGTGACACCAGCGAGACAATTATCCGTACCATGGGCAATTCGTTCCGGATCCTTTGTAGTTTTGATGAAGGGTCAGCTACGGCTATTGGCAGAGACCTGGAGCTCAATGTCCCAGATGGCGTTAACTCCCTTGAATTCGCCCACATTGTCAGCTTAGGTTGGAAGTTCACTATACTTAAGAAGCATATCATGAGTGGCCGCATGGAACTGCGAGTCTATGGCATGGAGTCCATCCAAGGTGACCTGGTAAATTTCTGGTCTCAACATATCCAAAATGTGCCTGGTGCGCTTAACCATGCAACAACCAAATACTTGGTCAATTTTTTGCGCGAGCATAAGATTGTCGATTATGTCGTTGGCGTCGAATCGCATCCTCAACTGATTAGCCGTGGCAGCAATATTGTCGGTTTCCTTGTCGTAACTTCGACATATACTAATGAAGATACAGATATTATATGGAAGACTGTCAGCGAGAGCCATGACCCCAGAACTGTATCCGAAGTCCTTGCCATGCTTTCGTCTACCTTCAGTATGCACCACGAGCCCGAGCCACTTATTTACATCTGCAACAAGCTCATAGAGTTACCCCTACAACGCTTCGACGTTCGTATGATTGAATTCTGTGACATGCTGCTGAACGCTGTAAGGAATAAACATGCGGAATCTTTACGTCACCAGGAGCTCGGCCACTACCCACACATCGATATCATGCCCGTCCGCCTATGCGTCAGGCTGATTCGAGGAGCACTGTCTTCTAATGAACTCCCTCTTGAGCAGAGGTCTCAAATCCAGAGATTCGCTAGTAAACAACTTTCCCAGTTTGTTAGCCTTGGTATACGCGAAGCAGATAAGACCGAACTTTATCAGCAATGTATCCAGGATGTTTCTGATATGAACGAGTTTGCTCTCGGGAGTATCCATGCTCTTAATGCCCTAATTCCAACCTTTGATACCCAGGATATTCGGCGTCTAGCTCTAGACCTCGACTTCACCCGCCTCATCATTACGGAACTCGCACATGCAGCTACGGCACCGGCCGCTGATGGAGAGGATGAGCACCTATGCAACGCCATCGTACCACGACTGAACCTAGTCCATCGCATTATCGACAAAGTGCCGGAGACAATTTCTCCTGAGTTAATCGATAGTCTGTGGGATAAAGTATTTACATCGAAAGTAATAAGTGAGCAGAACCGAAATTACATGTGGGAAATTTTGTCCAAATCTGCCTCCCGATGCCTCAAACGAAACGCATTCCTGGAAACGTTTATGAACGATTATCTTCCCCGCATCCTACCAGAGGACATCACAGAGTCTGTACTCTCATTCGCAAAGCAAACAGTGAATTACGATGTTAAATTCCATCACCAACCCGTCACTTGTGATGGAGAAGTAATCACTATTCCCGGAATGGACAGGATCTGGCACTTTATTCTATCAGCACCCAATCCAACAATCGGTATCAATGCTATCAACTTTGCTATAGATACATACTTGGACCATTCCCTAATCAAAGGAAGCAGCCCATCATCTGCTGAAGCAACGCATGTATCCCTCGTCGATCGCTGCGTAGCCCAACTAGCAGCTGCAGCCACCAAACTAAAAACGTTCATGGATGGAACCACAAGTGGTGAAGACGAACCTATGGTCATAGTCCCATCCGATAAGGAAGTCCGCGCCGAAGAGTTACGCTTTGCCCGCTCCCTCCTTTTTCTCCGCCAACTTCGCCAAGGCCTCCGTACACGGCCCCATTATACTCCTCCCCAAGGTTCACCACCGTGTATGCCGCTCAACCCAGAGTCAATAAGGGGAGAATCTATAGACATATCTTATCAGGCGTTCAGTACAGGCTCACAATCTCGCATTCGCACATTTACCATCGGAGACTTATCAACTGCCTCTGAACTCGCGGATAAAATCGCTCATGTCACTGGTTTCTCTAAATTCACTACCATCAGCGGTGGACAAAGACTAGATCTACGTGGGGGGAACGCAAACCAGACGATTCGAGATCTGAAACTCGCAACTGCAGGCTTACTTATTGTCAGGAAAGATTCAGATGCGTATGAGGCTTCATTTGGCGGGAGGCGTCAAAGTTTGACACTTGTTGATTCAGAAGTGTTGAAACATTTCAATGACCTTTATGACCTATTGAGCTTGGACGAAAGGTTTTCAAAGGAGGTGGGCAACGAATTCTATTTCGACCCTACTTCTGGGAATGAAAATGGTAACTAACGCCTCTTCATAGATATTCGACTTCCTTGTTCTATTTCCTCCGCAGCAGGCAGTTCGTGATTTTGTCCGATCCCCTGAGATAGGCGAATCGGATATGTTCCCTATTGAAAAACCATATAAACTCCTTTACATCCTCAATTGTCTAATTGTGTGTATGCGGGAAGAGAGCATGAGCGTATGATATTGCACCTATTTCCAGTGATTTAAACTCTCGTCTATATCTATGCTAATATATGGCTACCAGTTAAACCGCGATCAAGGTTTTATTTCCCATGTTATTAAGAACATTGATGCTATTCTGATGAAGCCTGGAATGTCTGAGCTCCTGCGCGAGAATGCTTTGAAACTCAACATTGCATGCAGCTTCGTGAACTGTCTGCTTGTGGCTTTGAAAGGCAAGATTCCAAAATTCTTTCAATAGTATTTCCGAGCTTTTTGGCTGACACTTTATATAGCATTTGCAAAATCAACATCAGATTCATCACAGCGTCTATTCACGAACCCGTCTGGTTTAATCTCCCTAATTCTCTCCTTGCTTACTCTGGATCGCAATGATTCCTCTATCCCACTTAATGAACCAACATTACAGCGACTTATATCAAGCTCATTTGCAACACTCATCGAAGCTTCCATGAACGACGACCATATATGGGCTGCATTGAAGGACTACACGCAGATGCCAGATCTCATATACAGCTTACTACTCTCCGAGCCTCGGCCAGGTATTCGGAAGGATATTGCAGAGATTATTTTCTGTCTCTGCGGCGAATCACCACTCCAAAAAGGTTACTGGTCAAACACAGTCTCAAAGAACGCCATTTTAACTGGCAATCTCGCGACTGTCACTGGTGCAGATATGGTGAAGTCTTTTTGGCAACCCATTTCATTACTTTTGCCTCGGGCTGTCGAGCATCCCCAGCTTGCACAGGAGTTCTTTGAGGTTGCCTTGGTGACTTTCCATACTGTTGCTATGCTCCCTACGACAGAGATCCCATATAAGCAATATGTGCAGGATTGGGGAAATATTCTTTTGAGTCACAATGGCAAAGAGGTAAGTAACTGTCCACCCAGCCTCGTTCACTATGAAGTGTATAACTGATAATTTCTATTTAGTTTGTCGGTCGTGAACGTGTTGATCATGTTGTCTTGGGCTTTGCTTATCTCCTAAAGATGTGCCTCGAGCTCGCTATTTCAGAGAATATTGATGCTGGTACTACGTAAGTCATTCAGATTTCTCTTCTCTTTAATATCCAATCGTTAATTTGTTTGACCATTACTAGCATCCTTATGGCGAATTTGTTCATCACCCTCCTTTTCCCCAATCTATCCGATACCCAAGATGATAAGATCCAACCAGGTATTCCGATCATGAACACTACCACTCGCCAAGAGATCTATAGTATCATTCTTCTTCTTTGTCGGAGTACGAATAACTGCGCAGAGATGCTTGAACTTCTCGAAGACATAATTCCTTATGGTACGTCTTTCTCATGCCTTCAAATCGTTCTCATATACTAATCAGCATCTAGACTACACATATGATCCTACGTGGATATTTGATCGTTCGAAAACCATTCGCTCCGCGGAAGGATATGCTGGTCTCCGCAACCTCTCCAACACATGCTATCTTAATTCCTTATTCACCCAATTATTTATGAATCTAGACTTCCGCAAGTTCATCCTGGAAGTCGAAACTTCAGAAGACGATCCTACCCAAGCAGTTCTTACCGAGACAAAGAAAGTGTTTGCATACCTTCAAGACACATGGCAGAAGAGTGTCGATCCCCAGAATGCTGTGGACACTATTCGAACGTATGATTATGAGCCAATTGATATCAACATTCAGATGGATGTCGACGAATTTTATAACCTACTTTTTGATCGATGGGAAAGCCAAATACGCTCCGCTGAGGATAAGAAAAAATTCCGATCTTTCTATGGCGGTCAGCTTGTACAACAAATCAAGTCCAAGGAGTGCGAGCACATTTCTGAGCGCCTAGAACCGTTCTCCGCCATTCAGTGTGATATCAAGGGTAAGCCCGGCCTTGAGGATAGTTTAAGGGCATATGTCGAAGGAGAGATCATGCAAGGAGGTAGGTTTCGCTCATGTTATGGTCCTGTTGTTCATTACCACTGACATCATGTTACAGACAACAAATATTCTTGTACCTCTTGCGGAAAACACGTAGATGCAGTCAAAAGGTAAACAATTTCTTATTATAAGCAATATCAGACTATATTACTAACCTACAACAGGGCGTGTTTGAAAGATATACCAGACAATCTCATATTTCATTTAAAGAGATTCGACTTTGATGTCATTTCAATGATGAGGAGTAAGATAAACGACGAGTTCCATTTTCCTGAGCGCATAGATATGTCCCCTTTCACCATCGATTATCTTAGCAACCCTGATGCACCCATCGAACCTGATATGTTTGAACTCGTCGGAGTTCTGGTTCACAGCGGCACAGCTGAATCAGGACACTACTATTCCTACATCAAGGAAAGGCCATCGGCTGGGCCAAATAACTCCTGGGTGGAATTCAATGACTCCGACGTGACAAGATTCGATCCTGCTAAAATTCCAGACCAGTGTTTTGGCGGCACAGGCGACAATATGCATAGCTTGAGCCATGTCCGTTTTGGCTGCAAGGTGTGGAACGCATACATGCTCTTCTACCAACGTGTTTCGAGTATGGAGAAAGCGAAGGCAGTTTATGAGGATTCCATTGGTGATTCCCCAGCTCGCATTCCTCTTCCGTTGGAATTAGGAAATCACATCGCCCTGGAAAATGAAGTGTTCATTCGCATATATTGCCTCTTAGATCCAAACCATGCACGCTTCGTTGTTGGCCTCTTTAATCGAGCACGAGAGATCAACCGGACCGAGAACACTGCGATCGCCTCAAAGATTCAAAAAATGTCAATGCATGTCGCCCTGGATACTTTAGAACAGCTCGTTGCCAGATCGAAGGACTTGCCAGAAGTTGAGCCCCTTCTTATCGACATCAAGAGATCTATCGATGAATGCCCTCGCGCTGCATACTGGCTTTTGCAGTGGACCGGTAAAAGACCGCTGCTTCTGAGGAATCTTATTGCAAAGAGCCCCAACAGTGTTATTCGTGTTGGCTTTTCGAAGCTTCTAGTAACAGCATTGAGCCGCCTGCAAGATCGATTAGGGGACGCGGACTCCGACAGAGAACTCCAAGGTGAATATCATCGAGAATATATGGATATGCTTGAAAAAGTTGTGGGAATCATGGTGATTATGTGGACCACACTTCACTTCTACTCTCGTGCCTGGGATGACTATTTTGAGGTTTTAGTTGAAATTGCCAACCTTGGACTGTATGAGGTTGAAACACTAATAGAGCATGGCTTCCTTCTCCGATGTCTGGAAATGGTATGGCTGGATGGCCATGATTCCAGGAGACTTAAAGAAGTCTACCCCGCTTACGTACGGCTGATCGAGAAAGGGAGGAAATTCTCGCACTACAAACTCACCGAGCTGCTTGCTATTTTCTTGGAGAACATTGACATAGCCGCCGATCCAGTACGAACCGGTCAGTCACGACGAACAGAAGCTGGCAAGCTTGCACTTTCCTATGCGGAGAGCGAGCTTGTTCTGGCGTTGGGTGACAAAAGGGAACTTGCACTCTTAAAGAAAGTCATTGAGCAGCAAGAAAACGTTGATGCGGCACGGAGAATATTCACTACTTTTTTGAGCACGACTCCGGCAATCGATGGACTGATGGATAGCATAGTACATATGCTTGAGGAGGGCCTAGCGGTTGAACCAGCTTCTCTCGCCAGTCCGTTTCTTGAAATAACACTCCTCTTCTGTGGCATGGTTCCTGAAATTGACCGTGTTCGAAGTCTCATTGAATTTGCTACAAAATCAGTTGACTCGATAAACGAGGCCGGTGGCCGTGATCATATCACTTTCATCCAGACACTTCCAACACTTAATAACACTGCCATTTTGGAGCAAGACGAGTTATTTTTCTTGTCTCTAGTGTTAGAGATGGCACCTTATTGGGCGCCAACATTACTCCATTACGACGATCGATTGGTCCGAAATTCAGCGTTTGAATATTTGCAAGAAATACTGTTCCTCAAGAACCTTGATGATGCCACGGAAACTACTCGACAATTCTACCAGCGAACTGGACGCCAGTTGGGACAAGCCTGCATTGATAAGCTTCAAACGACATACCTCGCTACCTCAAATGCCCAGACCGTTGTGGATGCATCGACTGTTGAAATCATTCAATATGTCATTAAATTGTGCATTGAAAAGTATTTTGATGAGGAAAATATCGAAGGTGACAGAGCTATTATTGATCGCGCTGGAGGTTTGTTTTTGTTTACCCTTTCGTACATCCCTTTTCAATCAAAGCGGATATAAGCTAAGTCTCATGCAACAGCTGTCCTCGCAAGTTTAGAGCAGTATACAGTGGAAATGCCAGAGGATGTTGGATCAGGTAAGAATGAGGCCCTCGCTCCTTAAGCTTCAGAATTATGTGTTGCCGCGAACCGTTGTTTTGTTATTAACCTGTGCTGTTTTTTCTTTTGTCTTGCCCAATATTCAGGTCCTGACTTTCCTTCAGATGCCTGGGAGGATAATTCCGTGATCGCCAGTGACTCGGAGATTGGCCTGGCTACTTCGCCGTAGGAGTTTGTTCGGCACGTTAGCACAGGTTCCCCTTATATGATCTACGATCAACACGTTCCATTTCACCCTAATACCAAAACTGCCCAAGAAAACAACTGCAGTTATTATCCTGGCAGTAAACTCAGGTTGAATATTGACGAAATTATTTGCTATGCAATGACCCCTTGACGACCACATTGACGATACACTTTCCACACTAAAAAAAAAAAGGGAAAAAGAGAGAGAGAGAGACCGAGATAAATGGAATGTTTTACACGTTATGCTACGCATTAAATGAGATCAATGAATGAACAACATCCTACAGGATACTCGACGGACGCTCTGGTGCATCATAATGGAGTTATTTCGTTTTTCTTCCCTCACCCTTCCGTTGTACGTGTGATAAGCATGTCAAAATCGGAAGGAGGGAGGAAAGGAAAAATACAAGGAGAGAGAGAGGGAGGGAGGAGGAGAGAGAGCATCAATTAATGACACGAAGAAAAAGCTTTCCTTGCTGGTTTTCACATGGTCAAGTTTTGTTTTCGAGTTTCCAATGTTATTTCTATCCAGAGACAGATCAGAGTGGGCCAGAGCCCTGGAAATGTTTCAATACTCCTTTCGCTTGCCCTGGGCTTTATGGCTTAGTTGTTCTGTCTGCGTTGTTTACTTCGTTGGTGCATTTATTAGGGGGTAAGAATGCTTTCTAAGGTCAAGGCGCCTCCGGCTGGGTCCGTTAGAAGCATTTGCTAATTGTAATAAATGCTCACGCGCACTCGTTCTATCATTGGTTTAATTCGAAGCCTTAATGCATAGCAATTGTATAATAACCGTAATAATGCCATTAGCCTGTGTATAAATTGTCATGATCCAAATATTTGTCCCATCATGGTAAAAATGTGTAGCGGGATGACAAGTTGAGTTATTGTGCTGATCTCGAGGAAAATATTTCGGTTGCCAACTTCATGAAATAACTAATTATGCTAACACCACACTAACTTATTAAATTAGTTAGTTAACGATAGTTTCTGTTGTATAAAAGACCGGTTCACTCTAGAACGACATACAGACACAGAAAACGCATTTTCAAGTGCGATACGGCTCAACCCATCGGGTAGCATCGTACGGAATGAGTAGATACCGAGCCTCTGCTCCGGCGTAAGAATCTTCACGACATCAAGTATGATACACTTGCAGAGGCTAACAATGTGTAAAGAACAGAGCTCTCTCACGAACAACAAGAAACAGTCGAGGACCTCCTGTACCGGTAGGTCTGCTTGGTGCTATCAATGTGACACTGGCTTACTCGTTCAGCAGATTATTATACCCTATTCGATCATGGAGAGATGAAAAACCGAAGCTGTCAAAATGCAAAAGGTGGAAAAAGCTAGAACTGCGCAAGGAGGCTGCATCCAAAAATAAAGATGAAGAAAGAGCTCCAAGTAATATGTCTGCATCTTCTAACGCGCCCGAGGTGCTGAAAAACCTTACCATCGGGTTCAATTCGACCATGAGATCTCTCGAATCCCTGGGAGAGATGGACCGGGATACGTCAAACCCAGCAGTTCAGGAAGAATACAAAGCAAGCAAACAGTCAAGGAAGTTATCAGTGGTCTTCGTCTGCAGGTCGACGGCTCCTGTACCACTGGTTGAGTCACTTTCATTCACTGTCAAGCGACTATCAGACCTTGAACGAGGGAAAGGGATTCGACTGGTCTACCTATCTAAGAACGCCGAAACGAGGATGGCAGATGCTGTAGGTATTCCCAGGCTGGGTGTCATTGGAATTAAGGAGTGCCAGTCTGCTAGAATCCTAATTGACTATGTACGAGAGAACGTTCCACCACCGATATATTGAACACAAACTTGCAATGATAGCACCGTCTGAATCATGTCTTAGCACCTTATATATCTAATATGCGTATTCTATAGGTAATCTATACCTAGAAGAACCCTGAACAGTTATGGACCATGTCAATTATTTATTCTTTCTTTTGTGACGGATCCATGTCAGTCTCTATTCGGCGGATAACTCTGGCTGGGTTTCCTGCCGCTACATGAAAGGCCGGGATATCCTGTATTATGGTCAGCACATAACTAAACACTTGAATTTGTAGTTACATGCAAAGAATTCCTTTAACGATACTTACCTTGGTCACCACGCTTCCAGCACCGACAGTAGCGCCATTACCAATGGTCACACCTGGCAGGACAGTAACGTTTCCACCTATCCAGCAATCCTCGCCAATATGAATCTCTTTACCGAACTCTGGTCCCTTTGTCCCTCGTCTAACAGCAGGATCTAATGGATGACTACCGGCATATAAATTCACATTAGGTCCAAACAGTGTCCTGGCACCAATGGTGATCAGACAAGTATCCAGTGCAATACAGTTGAAATTGATAAATGCACCCTCTCCGACCTTAAAGTTGCAGCCATAATCAGTTCGTATGGGGGCTTCTACCCAGGGATCATCCTCAAAAAGGGCATCATCTTGCTCTTGGGTGGCAGCTTGTGGTGGCATAGGACGTTTATCACAGACTATACTACCAGACGTTAAACGTTTTGGCGATGCTGGATATTACGAAGGGCTGACTTACTCCCTCCATAACTCCACACGGCGTCTACGAGTCACCTCACCCGCGTTATTGAATCTATCACAGGCAGCCTTGCTTCTCTCCCGCTCCGCTATCAGATCGGCTGTGAATGCTGTGTACAGCTCTCCCCGGAGCATCTTCTCCCGCTCTTTAAGGTTTTCAGAACTGGGTTCCGTTGGTTGGACCATGGCCACCGCTTTTAATCTCGGTAAATATATAACTTGTTTAGAAGCGATATCTTAAGTATCTGAACTGCGTTTGTCTCTGCTTGTTGTCTGCCGTAGAGTCGTTGTCTTTCTTCTGTTGCTCCCCCTTTTTGCGCCTTGAAGTTTAGCCTCGGCTTTTAATAAGATTATGTAATGTTAGGTCATATATACTTTAGTGTGGTTATCACAGCAACTGATCAGGTGGCCTCAATAAATTAGCATCCCACTCCATCTTGCCACTTTTTTTCTCCCTTTTTTTTTTTTTCTCCTGCTGCAAATCCTCCCAGCAGGCGACAGAAGCTGGATCACTGTTTCTGACTTTTATATCCGCTTTTACTGGCGGTTGGCTTGTCATTTCAGTTGGTGTGCCGCGAGGCTGCGCCCTACATATACACCTAGTGGCGGGTTGAATCTTCCATAAGCGGTCGTATAGTGTAGCTGGTTAGCACATCGGATTCTGATGACTTCACAGTCAGTTTCACATTCCGGTAACCCTGGTTCGAATCCTGGTATGACCTTAATTTTCTTTTTTTTTCTTCATGCTCTTTTCTTCAGCCGTCCACGAGATGGTAGATATCTTTTTTCATACTTTCTTTAGCCTAGATGGAGGAGGATGATAGCGAAATATAAAAGTTTCTATCTCCCCTTGGGATCGTAGTTGTTTATTCTGACTAGATCGAGTAAATATCTGGAAGCTAAGTCTCATTCAAACAGAACTCTGATGATTATCACATCAGTCCCAGTCATTGATATATTGGGGAATCTCATCATCAGCATCATCGACTTTGGTTTGACGGATATGTCGAACTGTTGCTGCCTTTGCTATGAGTTGGGGATCAACGCCAAGTCGCATGATATCCTTCAGCACAGACAACCGAGGCGATACTTCCATTGCATTCCGACCGTCAGCATTGAAAAGAGTGATATCTGCACCGCGCCTAAGCAACTCGTGGAAGTATATGTAGGCCCTTTGTTTGCAGGCAAGAATAAGAGGGGTATTTTGATTGTTATCCCGGGCATTGATATCTGCGCCTCTATCAAGGAGATCAAGAAAAATGGCTTCGTTCTCCGCGAGAACAGATGCATGGAGAGGCGTTCGGCCAGCATTGTCCCTTGCCTCAATATCGGCACCATTCTTGTCGACCAAAATACTGACAAAATTTTCGCAGCCATGGCTTGCACAATGAAGGGCTGTGCGGCCATCATGGTCTGTCATATTCGCAGAGAATCCGGCGTCTATTATTCCCTGTAGCGAGCGTAAGTGGCCGAGTGTTGCAGCATGATGAAAGGGACTTAATCCAAGTGCTACATGGCTAGGATTTACGCCATTTTTCGCAAGCAACTCAGCCAAGGCTGCATTGTTATGTAGGACAGCTTTATGCAGCAAGTTTTGACCTGCCGAACTGATCCACGAATCAACAGGAAATCCATCATCGATCAAGGCCCCGACCACTTCATGGACCTGGCGCGCCACAGCAGTGGCAATAAGGTGGCTTTGGTATTGTTGGCTTGATGCTGAGCCTTCGTTTCGCTTCGCGATGAGATATCTACCAAATGAGCGAATAACGTCCTTTCGGCGCCTATCTCTGTATGGTATGATATCAGGGCCCACGTTTGCTATCAGTGCAGGCTCGTCCGTACAGCTCCATAACAAATCTGCAAACTTTCGAGAGGGGTACTTCTTTAGTACTTCTGTGGCATCCCTACAGCCGCCTTGCTCTTCCAGATACCGCATAACGTCTTCCTGGGCGTCGGCTAGCCACGCTAGTCTAAGAGGAGTGTACTCGTCAAAGTCAATAGCATTGATATCGGCCCCATTCTCTATCAGCAACTTGATAGCCTCAAGTGACCCTCCTTTAGCAGCCATATGAAGAGCTGTAGCGCCCGTCCTTTGGCATCTCATGTTTCTCCTATCCATTAAAAGCCGAAGAATGGCTGCGGAACCATGAAATGCTGCAATATGAAATGCAGGGACGAACGTCCGGTTCTCACGGCTCACGGGTCGGGTTTTGGCACCTCCATACCTGTTTATGTACCGCCTGACAATGAATTCATGTCCTTGATCGATGGTGATTGCAAGTGCGGTTCGAACCGTGCCGCTGGGTAATCCACAACCTTCTGTGTCCTGCTGCTGAAGCAGTTCAACGTATTTCTGGTATGAAATGCGAGAAGCCCACCCGCGAATAGCCCGAACAAGATGACGGCTCCCAGCAAGCTTGATGTTGTTGTACTCAACGACAGGTATATATGAGAGCACCGAAGTGATTATCTCGTATGGAAGGCTGTCGATGGTCGCTGGAGACATCTTGATCAAGCGTTTTAGACCGAAGTAACAACTCTTGATCACCGAGTCTGGATGCTCCCCGTTTACATTTATTTATATGTTATGGGGAGACGCCAGGCTGCAGCGGCTCAGCCGCTTGACTGGCTGGAGATCCACCAAGACCAAAGATGACTCAAGCGTCTTGCAGGGGCCCATGGCGTATGTAGTAATTTTCTGATCATTTTCTTTCAATACTACCCCAGAGCAGGTGGCTCCTCTCACAGACTATCACAGTCTATCAACTTGAACTTGGTTGTCGTGAAGAGGGCGATTTTTATACTTAACTAGTTAGTTACGGACTCCATCACGTGACTGGTATAAAATCCCCTCGACTTCTAAAGGTAAAAAAAAAAAAAAGGAAATACGAAGTATTCAATTCATTGTGTGACTCAATCAGCAGAGATTGTTCGCTTTGAGTGTTTAGAAGTCCTCATAGACATAGACAATGGTGCACTCTGCAAGAGTTGGCGTCCTCGGTGGCGGCCAGCTTGGTCGTATGCTGATGGAGTCCGCAAACCGCCTGAACATCCAGATGAATATACTCGACGCGGAGGCGGCACCGGCAAAGCAGATCAGCGCGCATGATACCCATGTAACAGGCTCATTCATGAACCCGGAGGCAGTCCGCAAGCTGGCTGAGGTTAGTGATGTGCTAACAGCTGAGATTGAACATGTCGATACGTTTGCTCTGGAAGAGGTACAATCATTGGTCAAAGTCGAGCCTAGCTGGAAGAGTATTCGGATTATCCAGGATAAATATGCGCAAAAGGAGCATCTAGCCAAGTTCAATATTCCCCAGGCAGAATATAGGGAGATACGAGAGAATCGGCTTGAGGAACTGGCTAAGGTTGGGCAGGAATTTGGATACCCGTTTATGTTGAAGTCAAAAACTGGTGCTTATGACGGGAGAGGTAGGATGATATTTCATATTTAGTTTCCGCTTCAATAAATATGTATATTCTGGTATTTGCTGACTTACTGCGGTTAGGGAATTATACGGTAAAGGGGGAATCGGATATAGCTCCTGCTCTAGAAGCTTTGAAAGGCAGACCCCTCTATGCTGAGAAATGGGCTAAGTTCAGGATGGTAGGCTGAACCGTTTTTGTATTATGTATAACATGAGCTAAGGTCGTATAGGAACTAGCTGTTATTGTGGTTAAGACAAAGGATACTGTTCTGTCATACCCCACTGTCGAGACTGTCCAGGAAGACTTTATATGTAAGCTTGTCTATGCGCCGGCTCGAGGTGTCTCGCAAAGAATCAATGAAAAGGCTCAGGAGCTAGCCAGAAATGCTGTTGCTGCGTTCGAGGGCAAAGGAGTCTTTGGAGTTGAGATGTTCCTTCTAGAAGATAGCTCGCTGTTACTATGTGAACTGGCTAGCCGGATCCATAATTCAGGGCACTACACAATTGAAGGGTGTGGCCTGTCGCAATTTGATACCCATCTACGGGCCATTCTTGATCTGCCTATCCCACCACAGAGCCTGCAGCTACGGCAACCATCGATTATGCTAAACATCTTAGGTGGGTCTGCTCCAGACTCACATCTGGATATTGCACGACAAGCCCTGTCGATACCGAATGCAAGCATCCACCTGTACAGCAAAGGGAATGCCAGGCCAGGACGCAAGATGGGTCACGTAACTGTGACAGCATCGACGATGCATGAAGCCGAGGCTATTATCCAACCGCTGGTTGAGTATGTCAACGGCAAATCAGTAGCATCTGCACCTTTAGCCACACCAAAGCCCCAGCCAACAGTGGGAGTCATTATGGGATCTGATAGTGATTTGAAAACCCTTGTTCCCGGGTTGAAACTGCTCCAGGAGTACTTTGGCATCGTGCCGGAGGTCGACATTACCTCTGCTCACCGCACCCCTGAGTATATGGCAGAGTATGCGGCATCAGCTGCATCTCGCGGCATCAAGGTGATCATTGCTGCTGCCGGCGGTGCTGCTCATCTTCCTGGAATGGCCGCTGCCCATACCTCTCTGCCTGTTATTGGCGTTCCTGTCAAGGGTAGTGCCCTTGACGGTGTTGACAGTCTGTACAGCATTGTACAAATGCCCAGAGGTATGTTTCTTATTCCGTACCGTACTGACGAATAATACTTACATGTATCAGGTGTCCCTGTTGCCACTGTTGGAATCAACAACAGCATAAACGCTGCTCTTCTCGCAGTAAGAATACTGGGTGCTTTCAACCCGACCCTGCGCCAGAGAGTCGAAGAGTATGCAAAAGCCGCGAAGACCGAGAACCTTGACGTCAAGGGAGTGAAGATGAGGGAGATTGGATGGGAAAAGTACTTTGACCAAATGGAAAAGAAATAAACCAGTTCAAATGGCTACGAAATGAATGCATGCAGATCGTTCATCTCATGAACAAAACTTCAATGAACTACTCCATATCACCGGCGTCTCCTCCGTAGTAATATATCCCGTAAAGCCCAGTGAATATGATTTATATCCACCAGCTTATAACATATTCTATCTCTTTCTCCTTCTTTTCGACCCTTTTTATGCCTCCTGACAACAAAATATATGCATTCACGTGACGCAATCTGCTTTTCCAACCAAAAGGTCGAGGAAGAAGCAGAATCAACACAGCAAAGCGACAAGAAGCAGGAGAAACAAGAGGAAACGAGGCTGCAATCGAGCTCGATATAAGCGAAATAGGAACGAAGACGATAGTCGACGGAAGCTGTCGGGCTTCTGCGAGTTTGTCATCCATGATGGCTTCGAACGGCGCTGGAACGAAAGGTATGGACTCATCACCAACTGCGTCATCGCGACGGCTGCTTGCGAGGGATACAGGGCTGACAGTTAATGATGCAGTGCTGAATCTGCCTGCGAGCACCGATCCCAGCTTTGTCGATGCCTCCGGATACAAGTTTAAAGAGAAGGACTTCAAGTCCGGCAAGGTCAAGGTGAAGAAGGCCGCCGCGAAGTTGCTGAATGGCCTTCCAGAGCCGAGTACGTATATCGCCTTGATATCACTTACGCTTCACCTCAAAATGAGACCTCGTTCTAATATTTACTGCTAGATTCCAAAGATGAACAAGATCCCCGAGGCTCGTCGTCGCCTATCCTACCCGAGATGGACGCCCAAACGATGGCAGCCTTTCCCACCGGCAAACCAAGAGAAACTAAGCTCGAGACCGTGATATGCAAGCACTGTAAGAAACCAGCCCTTAAGCAAGCGGCCGCAGAACATATACGCGCATGCCTTAAAGCAAAGCAAGAGAAGGCCCGAAAGAAAAAGGAAGCCAGAGAGGCAAAGTTGACGAAGGACAAGCCTGTGGATAAAGAGGGCACTGAAGACGCGGAGGGAGAAGTTGTTGCTATGAAGGGACAGAAGAGCGCGAAGAAGAGCGCCGGAGACGATGCGAAGAAGGGGAAGAAGCGGAAAGTCGACGCCGACGAAGACAAGGAGCCGAAGAAGAAAAAGAAGGACGAGCCGAAGCCAAAGGTACCGAAGCCTAAGGGACCAGTCGATGTTGAGAAGCAGTGTGGTGTTATTCTTCCGAACGGTGCTCAGTGTGCGAGGTCACTGACCTGCAAGAGCCATTCTATGGGCGCAAAGAGAGCTGTTCCGGGACGGTCTCTGCCCTATGACATGCTGCTGCAGGCATACCAGAAGAAGAACCAGGCCCGCCAGCAGAGTATGTGTCTTTTACATATATTCATATATGGCATGATGCTAACTACTTTGTAGAAGCGGCTATCGATGCAAACGCACCTATTCACGACGACATCGACGGCAACGGCCCCATCGACTCGGACGAAGAGAAAGATGCGGTCATGGCTGGACTGGCTCGATCTCGTCCTCAGCCGCTGGTCACTCACCCGCTCATGTCCACCCAGCGCAAATACCACCTGATACGCATGAAGGAGATGTTCTCTCAGGCTCTCGGGGGCGGAGGAGGAGCAGGTGGAGGACTGTTCTCTGGAGACTCCATCTTCTCGGGCCGCAGCATATTTTCACGCTCAGAGTCGCCTCCCTTTCCGTCTTCTGCTGCGGGCAACCCTACAGATAGCTCTATACAGCAGCCCCAGGACAGCTCGAGGAAGTCTTTGCTCTCACAGCAAGCGGTTCAGAACCGGGCAGCCCAGTCTGCAGCAGCAGTGGCAGCAGTCCCAGCCAAACCTGTGACGGCATCTTGACCGACTTGACCCATCTCTAGGACATATTCTTCACTTTCTCTTCTTTCTACCCGGCGTTAAGGCTGCATCGGCTTGGTTTATCATCACTGGGAGCACTTTGGACGGCGACGGGATTTATTTCACCTTTACTGGGACTTTGGTGTACTTTTTTTTTTTGGGACGAAGGCTTTATGATACCCCCAGAGACGCTCGATGTATGAATATTCATGAACGCAATATAGCTAAATACTACTCTCGGTAGCCATCATATGACAACACTCTGTATCATCTCATCTATCTCTGTCTGATAATACTCTTCGTTCTGCTGGTAGTGAAAATATAAATACATAAAAAAAAAAGCGACTCCGGCGTAACTAAAATAAGAAAACGAGCTTTGCTGCCTGCGCCATCTTTCTTCCAAGCTCCCTCAACCGTCACCAACACCTTCGTCACCACCAAAGACACAGGACAGACACCCCGAACCGCCGCAAAGCAGGACCTCCCTGCATCCTACGGCCTCTCGAGAGCTTCTCGTCTCACCAAAGCAGCCCAAGAGCAGTCGTGCCGTCCTGCTCGCCTGTGAACTACACCTCTACTCGACGCCACGTCGCGAGACGGTGGCCTCAAATCCCTCCTTCGATCCTCGCCTGCGCATCCCTTTGCCCCAGAGACCATGGGGAATTCCGTTCCTGACATCGATGCGATCGGGATAAAAGCAGAGCCGCACCTGGCAGACCAGTTCCGGCGCGAAGTGGCCCATCTGCTGGGCCGTTCGTCGCTATCGTTCCCCGGCGCGCAACCCGTCAGTTTCGCATCCCATCATATCCGCGAGCTCCAGGAGAAGGACTACTACGTATGCGAAAAGACGGACGGGATACGATGTCTGATGTACTTTGCGCGAGGAGATCCGGACTCGGATACGCCGGAGATTCACTACCTGATCAATCGCAAGAACGAGTACAGGTTCATACCAGGCCTACATTTCCCCATGCCGGACGACGATACCTTCCAGAGCTTCCATGTTGACACGCTGGTGGACGGCGAACTGGTTAATGACACATACGAGGATGGCACTGAGCAGCTGAAGTACCTGGTATTCGACTGCTTGGTGCTAGATGGCACGAGCCTGATGCACCGTACGCTGGACAAGAGGCTGGCATATTTCAAGGAAAAAGTGCTCAAGCCGTATAACGCCATGTACAGGAAATTCCCCGAGGAGAAGAAGCACCGGATTTTCGCCGTGGAGGACAAGTCTACCCAGTTCAGCTACGGTATTGAAATGATGTTCCGAGAGATCATTCCCAAAGTCAAGAAGATACATGGGAACGATGGCTTGATCTTTACCTGCCGCAGTACACCGTACAAGATCGGAACGGACGAGCATACATTAAAATGGAAACCCCCAGAGGAAAACAGCATTGATTTCCGTCTAAGGCTGGAGTTCCTTTCTATAGAGCCGGACTCGGAGGACGAGGCAGACGGTATCACCGAGGCGTACCCAGACTACGACGCCCTACCGACCTGTCATCTCTTCGTTCTGCATAATAGAGGAGAGTACCGCCATTTCGGACTCATGTACATCACCGAGACGGAATGGGAAGGGATGAAAGCTCTGCAAAAGCCTCTGGATGATACCATCGTCGAATGCATACAGGACGAACAAGGAAGATGGAGATACATGCGGTTCAGAGACGACAAGGCAGATGCGAATCATATCTCAACCGTGGAGAAAGTGCTTCAGAGTATCCAGGATCGAGTAAGTGAAGAAGAGCTGATCAACTCTGCGCCCGCTATTAAAGCAGCTTGGAAGAGGAGACAGGCTCAGGCTGCGGATGAAGAGGCTGCCCGACGGAGGGGGATGCATAACGGCATTCCCAACGGAGCCGGAGCAAAGAGGAAATACGGAGAGTAATATAATGTCCCCTTCTCTGCAATCCTCTTCCTCCAATACTAGGTTCTGTGTTTACGAATCTCTTTTTTCTGAAGCTCCTGGCTGAGTATTTATATGCAGCCTTTACTTCGCTCAAGGTATTCTAGGTGTGGTGGTCTTCTCACTTGGTTTCTTAGAACTTGTATCAATAAGTCTGTTACGGCGCGGTTCGTTTATTTATTTTTATCATCAGATTCTGTACACGTAGCCAGGCTGTTCATACACACCTGGTTTTATGGTTTGCTCATTTCAGGTGTTGGTTTGTATGCTGGAAAAATAAGGGAGAGAGGGTGTCAAATTTCATACTTATTTCTTCTATCTTTTCCTTTTGACCTTTCGACTTCACAAGCTGACCGGACAGAGAGCGGAAGCAGAACGGGACAACAATGTGAATTTGGTACTCTAAATACTGAATGGGCTTCAATATTCAAAATCATCATCCACGGCCCCCTTGGTCTTGTCCATTGCTACGCTCTCCTGTTTTCGATACATCTCCGCAACAGCTTTTGTAGTCGTAGCTTGGTCTGGCTTCTTGTCGTCTCTCGCCTTGATGTATCGGGGGAATCGTAATGAGATACCCTTAGCTGCGGAGCCACCAGTGTTGCCCATCACTTCATCACTGGCAGCGCTATACCTGGGGCTGAGAGTGAGATCAGCAGCCTTGACTTCCCATACGAACTTGGGCTCAAACCAGACGTCTGGCTGGTCCTTGGGGACTGTTGAGTGAGAGTAAAACGGCTTTGGTTTATCGATAACAAGCGGGCTGAGGGTTTCATGGAGTTCCTCCAACAAAGCTTCTGAGAAACCTGTGCCAATATTGCAGATTGTTTCGTAGTTCTGAGTCTTGGGATTATATGCAGCTAGTAGGAAAGCACCATACACGGATGTACGTTTGCCACGACCGAAATATGCGCCCAAGACGACAAGATCGAGGGAATCACCAATGCCAGCAAGGTAGTCTTTCTTGACCTATAGATTTGATGAATCAGTGAATTGTTTCAATATAAGTCGGATTTTTATGCATACCTTCAGCCAGTTTCTACTTCTCTTGCTTGGCTCATAGCCACTGTCCTCTGTATCTAACATCTTCACCATGAGGCCTTCACAGGAGGCTTTGACGCTCTCATCAAGCATGGTCTGTATTTCTTCCAAATCGCTAGTGTTTCCGTGCTGAGCAAAGGCAAACTCTCCCTCAACTGGCACAAACGCTTCATGTAAAAGGGCACGTCGTTCCCTCAGCGTCTTTTTAACGGTAGGCTATGTATAGTCAGTATCATTCTTCTAAAGAGGGACAAGTAAAAACTCACCTCTCCATTCAGGAAGAGCAAGTCAAATGCAAAAACACAGACTTTAACCTTGATGTCTTCCGATTTCACGTCCTTTCGCTTCCTAGTCATGAGTTGTTGAAAGGGAAGGACCTTTTTGTTAACAGTGTCCCAAGCAACTGTTTCACAGTCCACAACAAAACTCTGGGTGCCAGGCTTCACCCAGGCCTCCAGTTTTTCGAGTATATCAGGGTATTTCTTGGATAAGTCTTCAGAGTTGCGAGAAAAGATAGCGCAAAGGCCCTCGCCGTCTTTTTGAAGTGTTGTAGAAGCCGCTGGGTATTCCTTGATTGTGTCCCGAGAGATGTAATGGATCTGTGCTCTCTCGCCATCATACTTGTATTCGCATGTGAAATGCTTCCCTTCGAATCGGTCAAGAACTTCACTAATGGATTTGGTAGGTTTAGCAAGCATAGGTTTCAATGGAACACCAGGCTGCAATTTGCAGTTGTCTGGCAAATTGAAGATTCCGTGTTTAAGCATGGCCGGAATGATCACTTCATATGATGGAAGTTCACTATCACACAATATTAATTCAGATATACCACCAAAAATGTTCAGAAGTGGAGCATACCTATAGACAGTTTTAAGAATGTCTTCGCCCTTGGCAAGCTGATCTGTACTTGGAGGTTTCCCTCCGTCCATCTCAGCCTCGTGTGCTACCATTGCATGGGCTAAAGCGACAAGCACAGTCCTCTCAGCCAGTCCAAGCCGAAGTTTACCTTCCAAAAATCGTACAATGAATTTGGCTTCACTAGCACCACCCCTATTTTTGGTAATATCAATGGTTTTTGACCCCTTCCCTGCCTTGTCAGCATCGGCAGCAGAGAGCAGTTTTTTAATGCCTGCAATCTTTTTCTCCTGAGACCCGGTACCATGCGTCTTAGCAATGGCCAACAACCCTTCGTGTACACCCCGTACAGTCAGCGCTTTAGGCTTGAACATGGTAGGCTGATTTGATCGACTCTTTGCGGCAACAAGACCAAGATCGCCGATTTCATTTTGATCTGCTTTGATGACTGCAAGGCTGCGTCCGGTCGATTCACCAATAGCTTTCATGATTAGAGATTCACCAATTCCGAGTTCAATTCCAGCATAATCTGCTGCTAACTTATTTATCATCAACTGGACGGTAGAAAGTAAGTCATCCGGGGTAAGACGGAGTACTTGGCGCAAGAAAAGCGCGCAGTGTGACAATATAATAAGACGTTTTGTGGTCATTTCGATGTGTGAGAAGGTGGTGCAAAGCGCGGCGTAGGGAACGGGGTCTCCGGCCTTCCAATCCGGGTACAGGTCTTTGGGTTTGGATGTGAGAGTGCTCTGGACTTGTTTCCGTTGTTTAGCTGCGGCCTTCTTCTTCTGCTGAACCTTGGCCGGCTTATCGTCTATATCATCTTCCTCAATCTCCGAAGCTGAATTCTCCTCGGCGGAGGATTGCTCTGGTTCAGCATCCGATTTGATCTTAGTTGGCGATTGTTCACCGGTAGCAGCCGCCTTACTACGACCACCGTTGACAGGGCTCTTGGCTTTGGTATTGGATTTTGGTGATCTCCTCCGGCGCTTCGTGACGGGTTGCTCATCTGACTCCTCATCACCTTTGATTGCGACAGCCTCCTTTCGTTTTTGCCTCCTGGTCACAGGAGAAACAGACTCGCTTTTCTCACCACCAGACAATATTTCCCCATCTACATCCCCGTCATCAATTGGTGGTGGAGTACGCTTGCTCTCCGCACGGCCAACTTGCTTCTGGGGTGTTTGAGGGGCCCCTTCCGCGACCTCATCGTCTTTCTCCTTGGTCTCATCATTCTTACTACTGCTTGACTTTGATGAAAACGCAAGGGTAGATTGTTTCTTTGGCGCTGGGTTGCTATTGGAGCCGAAAAATTTCCTACATTCACAAAGTGTATAATGAAATCAGCTAGATGAAGTTATAAGAGACCGAATATAGGTATTATCTTCCCAGAGAATCACAGAGGCGCAGCATGTCAGAGCATATAGCTATCCAACCCTACGCACCAAAGTGTCGATTGAGGGTCTCTCACGTACCCTAGGGTTGACTGTTTCGAGCCACCCGATTTTTGAGCCATAATAGCAGACACGGGAGTTATATTGGTATATAACGTTCGAATGTAGTGTGAATTCTTTTGAAATTGGTAGAAGAATAGTAAAGGCCGAGTTCGCGCAATGTTTCGGGAGCAAATTGAGGCCGAGAAACTCATAGAATCAGGGATAAATTTGAATGAGAAAAGAAAAAGAGGCTAACATCAAACGATGAGGATGAGCTAATGAGGCAGTACTGTAGTTTATTGCTGGGGGAATGCAGAAGAAATTGAGGGAGCGACGTTAAAGGCTGAGCCGATACTGCATGTTGGCGCAAGGGCGTCGCGCAGCATTTATTGTAAGACAGCCAACATTCGACTGGTGCCTAGTGCAATGTGGGCCCCGTTGACACCATTGACGAGATTGTCCAGGGGTGAACTGCTGCCTGTTGACAAGAGACCAGGATATGGTGTTGGAGATGGGATATTCCGCCGTGTTATAGACGAAGCTTGAAGTGATATTACAGTCTTTGTATTACACGCGCGAAAGTTAGAACAAGCGCGTCGCGTTAATTTTGCACGTGACCTGCTGCCTGCCCAGGTGGAGAATACGAGAAAAGGGGCTGTTGCTTCTATTATTAGGCAGCGAGGTTGAGTTCATGTATTTCTAGCTTGAGATAAATATATCGATTAAGAGTTTATAAGTACTCCGTATATGACATGGAATCATGTTAAATGAGTTGCAACTGCATACATATTGGATGTAGCGAGTTGATGTGAACAAAGCCCGTGTTAGAACAATTTGGATTTCAAAGCACCCTGAAAAGATTAACCGTAGAAATAGCAAAAGCAGACTCCAGCAAAGATAGATTCCATCAAACATTCAAATTTCCTGTGAGCTTAGAGACACCTCAACGCTGTTGTACCGCATGAGAGGTGAGCTATGGCCGTTCCGTACTACGAGTGATTAGGCTTCCTTCTTTACTCTCATGACCCTGGAGTTAGATGAGACTTTGGCCTGGTTGGTCTTTTCGTTAGCTGCTGAAGTTGGAATAGGCGGGACACCTGGGATAGAGGGAAGGCTTGGCAGATGTGGGAGGCCTGGGATTGAAGGAAGACTTGGGATAGGAGGGATAACAGTAGGGATAGCAGTGGGAATAGCAGTGGGGATAGCAGTGGGAATAAGAGTAGGAATAGCGGTAGGAATCAAGGTAGGAATGGCAGTTGGGACGAAAGTGGGAATGGCCGTGGGTACTGGTAGATTTGGTAGGCCAGTCGGTAATCCAGTAGGAATAGCCGTTGGAACCCAGGACGGAAGTGGAACAGATGGAATGGGCAAGCTGGGAAGACCTGGGACTCCGGGAATATTGGTAGGAAATTGTTGTACCTCGGCATCATCCTCTGCAACGGATTCGGGGCGGGCGTTGCGGCGCCTGAAATTGGGTGGCACTCCTAGATAATTTTGTGAGCTCTTGAGACAGAGAATATCGATCGGTCCTAATGAGATTCTTACCGGCGTCCACGCATAATTTGGTTCCGGCTTAACCCATCTGTTCACGCTCTGCAGGAGTACATTTCTGCGAGCAGTTATGCAGGTATTGCTGGTATCCACGATTGCGGCACAGGCACTGAGGACTGGGGAACGGGCAGCCATATTCCTTAGACTTGCTTATCCCGCTGTAGACGCAATTTTTCTGAAGTACGGAGTATATAAAATCAGTAACGAAGGTACGTCAGGCTCTGGTGGGAAGGTTTGCGGCATACAGGACATGGTGGAAAATTGTTGATGGGAGCAAGGTCGATAGCCAGGGCTGCAGCCGCCATCATGGTTACTGGGAGAAAGATTGAGAGTTTCATGATGCTGGTAGCAAGCTTTGTTGTAAAATAATCAAAGTGTCGATATTAAAGGGATAGACAGGGAGATAGAGAGATGATTGAGGTCTGGGGATGATTGAAAGGATAAGAAGAGAGCAATAGAAGAGAAGAAAGACGGTGATATTTATATCTGTCAGGGACACAGATGATCTGAAGCAGTGATTGACCATCTATCATATTTCCCCAGAATGCCCGCGAAGGTCGTATCGATCATGATCGTCACATCGGTGGAGCGGGTGGAAATCGCAAAAGGGGGTGGATCCTGTAGCGCAATGGGGTCGCACGCGAACAATAACAAGAGCACGTATATAGAGAAGGGGAAGCATTAGTCCATTGCACGATGGCTAAGACCGTTAACTAACTATCAGTCATGGATTGACTGGTTGACAGCCCGCCGAGCCATGGCTGAAGTTTATGGCGGGTGTATCGGGGTAAAAAGCAATTCAATGCCACCTTGACTTGCCACGACCTTTGCTAGTCCACCGACTATGGGCATTTGAGTTCATACCATGAAATTCTCCGGGGTATAATATGGACAAGGCCGAGTATTCCGCTCTGTAGCGTACACTTGTAATGCTCGCAGGACAGCCAGACGATCCAGTGGCTAGGGCCTAGACATAGCGAATTTCCAG